GCATTTCCTGAAGTTTATGTGATTTATGAAATTGGAATATTAATGTCAAGCTTATCTTTTGCATCCTGTCAATCCACTTGCCATCCAGCATTCATATTTGTGGGGAAAAATAAGCAAGGGGGCCGGCAGAAGGGTAAAGAATGGATGGGGTAGTTGAGAAAAGTAACTGAGTGGGTCATCCTGGGTTAAAACTACACAAATATATACACATAGTGCTAATATAATCAGTGTGCCTTCATGACTATTGTTAAGAAAAAATTATTTCAAGTCATCTGGGTATTTGATGACAAGAAATTTCTCTGGAAAACTACTGAGGAAAGATTTCCTCTCTGGAATGACCTTCTCTGGGGAAGATGTGGAGGATGGGTCGGGAAAATTCAGTGTGGTCGATTAGGTGCCCCCGTTGACCCATCCTTTCTGCCGAGTTCCCTTGTATTCTTGTTCGATGTATTCACAATATTACTCTAATAAATTTAGGCCTTTATCCACCGAGGTCAGTGATCACTTGTGGTCATACCTGTCCTAAGCTGTCTGGGATTAGCGTGGGGTGTTGAACATCAAAATGGTATACAATACCGACAGGTTGATAGGTAAGACACATAGGCAACTTTATTCCGAAACGTTTCGCCTACACAGTAGGCTTCTTCAGTCGAATACAGAAAGTAGGCAGGAACAGTAGAGATGTGAAGACGATGTAATCAGTCCATCACCCTTGAAGTCGAAGAATTTGAGGTTGTCAGTCCCTCAGCCTGGAGAAGTTCAGTTCCATAGTCAGGAACTATGGAACTGAACTTCTCCAGGCTGAGGGACTGACAACCTCAAATTCTTCAACTTCAAGGGTGATGGACTGATTACATCGTCTTCACATCTCTGCTGCTCCTGCCTACTTTCTGTATTCGACTGAAGAAGCCTACTGTGTAGGCGAAACGTTTCGGAATAAAGTTGCCTAACTGTTGCCTATGTGTCTTACCTATCAGCATGGGGTGTTATCTAGCACCATGGCTTGTTGTAGTGTTTTAGAATCTCAGGTTAAAGTGTTGAAGGAGATTCTACTTCTTCAGGAGGAAAATAGGAGACTGAAGCTTTGTGTAGATGGGTTTGGGAGTGAGTGTGAGATGGTGGTAGCTGGTGAGGAGGAAAAAGTTACCAGCAGTGATTTGGAGAGTGGCAGCCCCTTTAAGTGGCAAGTGGTTCACAATTTAGGAAGAAGGATGATAAGAAGGTTAATAGAGAAGATGTGAAGGTAGGAAATCGATAATCTGCTCTCCAGGACGAGTGTACTTCAGTGATTAGCGAGGTTAAAGGTACCACTGACTCCCCTGCTTATCAAGGTAAGAATATTCTGATTGTGGGAGATTCTCAGGTAAGATATATGGACTGTGCTTTTTGTAACAGAGAAAGGTCAGACAGAGTGCCTCCCAGGGGCTGGTGTTGGCGACATAGTCAACAGGTTGGATAATATGATGTCAGGGAATGGGAACAAGCCCATTATCTGTCTTAGTGCTGGTGGTAATGACATTGGGAATGGCAGAAGCTGCTGAATAAGTATAGGTCAGCCATAGATGTAGTCAGGTCTAAGGGAGGGATCCCAATCATATGTAGCATCTTGCCTAAAAGGGGAGTGGGCAATGAATGGATGTCAAGGGCAATTGGTATAAATTGCTGGCTAGACAGGTACTGCAAGGAACTTGCAATCCCATTCATTGATAACTGGGACATATTCTATGGTAAACATGATATGTATGCAAGGGATGGGGTTCATCTCTCTGGGGCTGGAGTGGTTGCATTAGCCAGTTTGATTGAAGGGGTTATTGGTGACTTGTCTAGGACTTTAAAACTGATAGATTATAGATGTATGGGCATTTGTGGGAAACAATCAGGCTGCAGTATTAGGGTTGAAAGTAACAGATATTACCAGGACACCTCGGGCATATGTTTAAAAGACAATATTCAAAATATGTATAGTTGCTAGTAAAGGCAAATTAACTGATCAACAAACAAAGGGAGATAGTAGAGGGCAACGGATGACTAGCTCCCTTAAGGTTTACTATACAAATAGTAGGAGTCTAGGAAATAAGGTAGATGAGCTTAGATTACTTGCAAGTGCAGGTAATATAGATATTATTGCTATAACAGAGACCTGGTTCAACTTGAAAGATAGAGAAATGCCTTCTGAATGCAGCATACAGGGTTATAAACTATTCCATACTGATAGGGTCAACAGGAAGGGTGGTGGAGTGGCAATGTATGTCAGAGATAATTTAAATTGTCCTGTTAGACAAGATACAAGATTAGAAACATCGGACGCAGAATCTGTTTGGCTACAGTTTCTCGAGGGTCGTGAAAAGTTAATTTTGGGTGTGATTTATAGGCCCCCAAACCTCGAGAGGGAGTGCAGTGAGCTGCTATGGGACGAAATTCTTAAGACATTTAGATATGAAAATGTTGTCTTAACAGATTTTAACTTTAGACAAATTGATTGGAACAGTGTGACAGGAAATCTTGAGTCTAGTGACTTTCTTGACATGGTTCAGGATTGCTTTTTAAACCAGTTTATGACAGAACCAACTAGAGGAAACAATCTACTTGACTTGGTTATTGCCAACAAAGAATCACTAGTTAATAATCTTGAGGTTAATGACGAGCTTGGGGAAAGCGATCACAAATCACTTTGTTTCAATATATCATGGAGTTGCCCGGATAACTGCAATCAAATCTCTGTCCCAGACTTTCGCTTGGCCGATTTCATGGGACTGAAAAATTACCTGGGTGGGCCAAATTGGGATGTCCTGACTATGGGTCAGGTAGGTGGTGTTGGTTGCCCAGGCCCTGATGAATTGTTTGCAAGGAATATAAAGAGGAACTTAGCATGCCTTTGGCTAATCTTTTCAACATATCACTTCAAACTAGCATAGTGCCTGATAAATGGAAAATGGGAAATGTAATACCTATTTACAAGGCAGGTGGCAGGTCCCTAGCTTCGAACTAAAGACCAATAAGCCTTACCTCTATAGTGGGAAAATTTATGGAATCTATAATTACCGAAGCAATTTGTAGCCATCTCGAAAGGCATAAATTGATTAATGAATCTCAGCACGGTTTTACAAAGGGGCGTTCCCGTCTTACGAATTTACTGACTTTCTTCACTAAGGTGTTTGAGGAGGTAGATCATGGTATTGAATGTGATATTGTGTATACGGACTTCAGTAATGCTTTTGATAGAGTCCCACATCAGAGGTTATTGAGGAAACTTAAGGCACACGGAATAGGAGAAATTTTTTCCTGGGTTGAGGCATGGTTGACAAATAGGCAGCAGAGAGTTTGCATAAATGGGGAGAAATCAGAATGGGGGCACATCACAAGCAGTGTTCCACAGGGGTCAGTGTTGGGCCCCTTGTTCACAATCTACATAAACGACGTAGATGAGGGAATAAATAGCAACGTAAGTAAATTTGCTGATGACACCAAAATAGGCCGCCCAATTCATTCTAATGACGACATTAGAGCACTCCAGGATGATTTGAATAAACTCGTGCAGTGGTCGGAGAAGTGGCAGATGCAGTTTAACAGACCAATACAAAGTTCTAAATGTTGGACAGGAAAATAACCATGCCACATATAAACTAAATAATGTAGATCTTTATTAAGATCTACATTATTTAGGAGTTCTGGTTAGTATTAATCTAAAACCAAGACAACAGTGCATTAGTGTTTGCAATAAAGCTAACAGAATCCTTGGCTTCATAGCAAGAAGTATAAATAATAGAAGTCCTCAGGTTGTTCTTCAACTCTATACAGTGGACCCCCGCTTAACGATCACCTCCCAATGCGACCAATTATGTAAGTGTATTTATGTAAGTGCATTTGTACATGTATGTTTGGGGGTCTGAAATGGACTAATCTACTTCACAATATTCCTTAAGGGAACAAATTCGGTTAGTACTGGCACCTGAACATACTTCTGGAATAAAAAAATATCGTTAACCGGGGGTCCACTGTATATCTTTGGTTAGGCCTCATTTGGATTATGCTGCACAGTTTTGGTCACTGTATTACAGAATGGATATAAATGCACTGGAAAACTTACAAAGGAGGATGACAAAGTTGATCCCATGTATCAGAAATCTTCCCTATGAGGATAGACTGAGGGCCCTGAATCTGCACTCTAGAAAGGGGGATATGATCAAGGTGTATAAATGGAAAACAGGAATTAATAAAGGGGATGTAAATAGACAGGACTCACAGCAATGGCTTTAAATTAGAAAAATTCAGATTCAGGAAGGATATAGGAAAGCAATGGTTTGGTAATAGAATTGTGGACGAGTGGAACAAACTTCCGAGTACCGTCATAAACACTAAGACATTGTGTAGTTTTAAAAATAGGTTGGATAAATACACGAGTGGGTGTGAGTTGGACCTGACTAGCTACTAGGTCGGATGCGGTGCTCCTCCCATAAGTGATGTGTCTGACCTCACTAGGTCAAGGCATTGGCTTAAGCTGGTGGGGAGAATTGGAGCTGCCTCACAGACCAGTAGGCCTGTTGCAGTGTTCCTTATTTCTTATGTTCTTATGAAGGCAAATATTCTATTAGTGGGATGGATCTGTGAAGGACCTGCCTAGTATGGGCCAACAGGCCTGCTGCAGTGTTCCTCCTTTCTTATGTTCTTATATTCTTATGTTCACCTCTGGCCTACCTATTATGCTGAAAATTTCTTGTATTTCTCCGACACATACCTGATCTGCAATCATACAAACCTGTTGACTGCATGATCATTGAGATTGTTGCTGCACATGGTCCAAAGGCCTACATATCTATCATAACAGCAATGGCTTAGCCTGTTTTACCACGTCAACATGTAGAAGCATTAAAACATTTCAGGTATTTTTTAAATCACTATTACTAAAAGCAGGTTAGAGTCTTGGAAATATTCCACAAGAAGCTACCAAGATAAGGCAGACTTCCAAGGAACAAAGAACTAAAGATTTAGAATACTGTATATATTTCAACTCACAATTTAATATTTTTTTTAGTCTTTCAATACATTTGCATTACATTAAATAAAAAAAAATTAGACTAATAATGTATCTCTTGAATAATTTTAGTACAGTACTGCATTGCAAAAGACCTTAGAGATTAAGGATATTTCTGTTTATTGTAAGAAACACGAGAAGGACAGTGTACAATAAAAATTAAAAACGTTAAATATACAATGTATAAAATAATCACTTTCAAACAATTAGTTACTGTACTAGCTCTGGTAAAAACATTTTAGACTAACATGAAACATTGTTGAATATTAATATATGGAAGATCAGCGAGTAACAAGGACATTTTTTTTGTGTAGGTGTATAATAATGTTCCTAAACTCTCCATTTTATAACAATTACTGTACACTTAGTTTCTTCACTACAACAAGGATCTATGTTTGAACTGTTTTGATATGATTTGAGCAGCCGAGTGTCGAGGTCAATACCATCTAGAGTACATTACACAAGCTTCCCTACTCTTGTGTCAATAATTACTCAATCACTAAGTTAATTATAAGTCAAGAAAAATAAAGCTTTAAATGCATATATTACATATACTACTTCTTCCAACAAACTGGCCGTATCCCGCCAAGGCAGGGTGACCTAAAAAGAATAACTAATGTTTCTCTCTTTATATTCAGTAACATATACAGAGAGGGGGTTACCAGCCCCTTGCTCCTAGTGCAAATATTATGGGAGGAGGTGTGGAGTTACTAAAAGTATTATTTCAAGGGCTGAAGAATTGTTGAGGTGGTTCGGTCATTTAGAGAGAATGGAGCAAAATAGGATGACCTCGGTGTATAAATCTGTAGTGGAGGGGAGGAGGGGTAAGGGTTGTCCTAGGAAAGGATAGAGGGGGTAAAAGAGGTTTTATGTGCAAGGGGCTTGGACATGCAGCAGGCATGTGTGAACATGTTAGATAGGAGTGAATGGAGATTAATGGTTTTTTGGGATCTGATGAGTTGCTGGAGTGTAAGCAGGGTAATATTTTGTAAAGGGATTCAGGGAAACCAGTTAGCCAGACTTGAGTCCTGGAGGTGGGAAGTACAATGCCTGCACTTTAAAGGAGGGGTTTAGGATATTGGCTGTTTGGAGTGTCATCTAAACTGTCATATTTGGGTGCCTCTGCAAAAAACAGTGATTTTGTGTGAATGATGGTGTGTGTCTTTCTTTTTGGGGTCACCTTGCCTCAGTGGGAGATGGCTGAAGTGTTAAAAAAAAAAAAAAAAATGTGCATGTTCATATCACATTTTTGTGCTTAACGAGGGAAATGGACAGTCTGCATCTCCTTCCACCCACAAGATCATTTCAAAGATGAAATATTATACTATACAGTAAATAAAAAAAATGTGAAGATTCTCATATGTATCATAATACCCTAAATAATATCTGCACCTCTATGAAAACAAAACATGTTAATGAACACAGTAATAGAAGTCACATTATTATATACTGTACAATATTTGAACAATTATGTTATGCATAACAACTACGCCAGAAAGCAAATACAGCACGGTACTTTTGAAAGGTTTTAATTTCTATTTTATTTTTATACAGTATTCATGGAAAGCTCCGAATCCTTAAGGATCATATCTCTGTAAAAAGATTTAGATAAAACTATTGTGAAAAAAATCACAGCTGTTGTCAATACTGCACCTTATCATTACTAAAGAATACTGTCTAATTTCCTCTTAAGTGGAATTAAATGTACCTGCAGGATTCAAACCTGGAACTGGAAATGTTCAGTCCAAAGATGACATGTATTTTTACATTCCTAATACATATATAAAAAAATATAGGATATATTTTTATAATAGTACGTATATGAAAACACAAGACCCACAACAGCAGACGTCTGACCCAATTATAATAATGAACAATGATCATTAATTTTTAGTATTAAAAAGATTGCAGGAGAAATATTATTATATGCCAATTTTGGTAACATCCTTCCTCTTTGCATAGTCAGAAGTTAATTACAGTAAAAAATATTTTTTACCTTCATTTTTCATCTTAAAAGTCATAAAAGTAAAAATGCATCTAGAAATTGTATACAAAAAATAGCCTGAATATTTTATGTATAAAATACATACAGCTATGTGTACCATATTTTAGCTACCTCATCATAGCCTTCAATCTGCTTGCTCTCTACCATAAATGAACAACAATGATGGCTTTTTAAGTATATAAATTACAATGTGCAATAGAATACATTGTGCAGACTGAATTGGTAGAATTTTCTTTGTAGTAACTATCATTCTCATCAAGTTTTGATCCAATCACTAAATTACGTAGATTGCAGTAGTTCACACCAAAGTCAATAATGGCATAAGAAGCTGCAGACTCACTGATAGCCTGAAAACATGAAAATTACTATAAATCATAACGAAAAAAAAATGCTTTTTCATTCATACTCCTCTCTTGCCTATTTGGGAATAAAGTGCCTATTTGTAGGAACAGGATGACTGGTGGCCATGTCCTGGGCAAGTTCAATGGGTTGAGGTGCAGGATCTTGCACAACACCCTCCTTTACACTTACCACCATCTTCACACACAACATACCCTCTCTATCTCTTATTTGTATATATTGGAAATATCGTTTTGTTGTAAATACAACTGAAGAGGCATAATGAAGGTTAAATATTAGATAAATATTAAAGAAAAAAATACACTAAAACTGCAGAAAATTAGGGCTCAGGAATGCATTAATAAATTTTACAGTGTTTAACAAAGAACAGTTGAAGGGTACTTGAACAAGCAACTTATTGATGAATTTTCAAAATTTCATTAAACATTAATCAGTTGAGGATGTACAGTATGTGGTATAAATTTGCTAAATAGCAATCACTCAAGCCCAGCACAATTTGATTTTTAACAACTTCCCTAATATTGCTTTAGACTGGTTATACTGATTTTCATGAGAAAGGAAGATGAAGAAATTAGATTTGGGTACAGGAAATTCAGAGTAAATGTTTTTAATGAAATCCTATTGTTGATTTTCAATTTAAGTGCCTTGTGCCAAGTCAAAATAAAATGAATACTCACCCAGACGAAGTTGGGTTACACCAATATAGTCATGACTATAGGTAGAGGGAGGGAGTAAATAGTAGACATATGCATTCACTGGTTTGTTACATTTGAAATTCAAATCATAACAAAGACAGGCTGGCTGGTTGGGGGGTAGGAGAACTATGACAGAATTTAGTATAATAAAGTATGTATTTAATTTTATTTTTTCTACCAACTGAATTCGTTTTTCATACCGTATATGGCTGTTGGTACCTATCTGCTATGCTTTTTCTTTTTAAATGTAGAATTTTTTCCAAATTTTAAATTGCAATGGGACTTCGAGCGAACGATGGAATTTATTTTTCCTCAATTTTTTCAACCAATTTCATTCCTTTTTCTTTTGTGTATGCCTATTTCATGAATGTATGGCAAGCTCGTATATCTTTTGGTATTGTCAAGAAAAATGGAAAGTACAAATTCACTTTTAGCACCATGGACCAGGAACATCTGTCACACAGAACGAGGGGGAAACAAACTTGTTATGCGAATGTGCAAGTGACTTATGCCACCGATGAACAAGAAGGCAACCAGACATCTACCTCCCACAGTAAAACATTGTAAACTTCAGAGTGACCGGGTTAGGTTAACTCTGCTTCTTGAATTTTAAATTTGTTTAAATTATGAAACCTGTTCTTCACTTTAACTGAAAAAAGTTTAACCCTTTCAGGGTTTTCAACATACTAGTACGGCTTACACACCAGGGTTATTGACGTACAGTGGACCCCCGCATAACGCTATTAATCCGTTCCCGAGAGCTCAATGTTATGCGAAATTATCGTTATGCGAATTAATTTTCCCCATAAGAAATAATGGAAATCAAATTAATCCGTGCAAGACACCCAAAAGTATGAAAAAAAAAATTTTTTTATTACATGAAATATTAATTTTAATACACACAAACGTAAGAAAACATGCACAGTTACATGACACTTACCTTTATTGAAGATGTGGTGATGATTGATGGGATGGGAGGAGGGGAGACTGGATGGTTTTAGTGTTTAGAAGGGGAATCCCCTTCCATTAGGGCTTGAGGTGTCAAGTCCTTTTCCGGGGTTGCTTCCCTTCTTCTTTTAATGCCACTAGGACCAGCTTCAGAGTCACTGGACTTCTGTCGCACAACATATCTGTCCATAGTGGCCTGTACCTCTCGTTCCTTTATGACTTTCCTAAAGTGTTTCACAACAGTGTCAGTGTAATAGTCACCAGCACGGCTTGCAATAGCTGTCTGAGGGTGATTTTCATCCATGAAGGTTTGCACTTCAAGCCACTTTGCACAGATTTCCTTAATTTTTGAAGTAGGCAACTTCTTCAATTTCTCTCTCCCCTCCTCCAAAGCAATTTCCTCAGGTGTGGCCTCTTGCTGTTGAAGTTGATCTAGCAGCTCATCAGTGGTTAGTTCTTCATTGTCCTCCTCCACCAACTCTTCCACATCCTCCCCACTAACCTCCAACCCCAAGGACTTCCCCAATGCCACAATCGATTCCTCAACTGGCATAGGATTCTCAGGGTTAGCCTCAAATCCTTCAAAATACCTTTGGTCTACACATTCTGGCCACAGTTTTTCCAAGCAGATTCAAGGTCCTCTTAGTCACTCCATCCCAACCCTTTAAACCTATAAGGTTTACACAACTGAGGATATTAAAGTGCTCTCTCCAAAACTCTCTTAGAGTCAATTGAGTTTCTGAGGTCACTACAAAGCACCTTTCAAACAGAGCTTTTGTGTCCAGTTTTTTGAAGTTTGCAATAACCTGCTGGTCCATGGGCTGCAGGAGAAGAGTGGTATTAGGAGGCAAAAACTTCACCTTAATGAAGCTCATGTCCCCACAAAGTCACTCTGCCAAGTCTGTAGGATGACCAGGGGCATTGTCTAACACCAGGAGGCACTTAAGGTCTAATTTCTTTTCAGTTAGGTAATTTTTCACAGTGGGGGCAAATGCTTGGTGTAACCAGTCATAGAAAAAGTCCCTAGTGACCCATGCCTTATTGTTTGCCCTCCACAGCACACACAAATTATCCTTGAGGATATTCTTTTGCCTGAATGCTCTGGGAGTTTCAGAGTGATACACTAATAAAGGCTTCACTTTGCAATCACCACTAGCATTGGCACACATGAGAAGAGTAAGCCTGTCTTTCATAGGCTTATGTCCTGGGAGTGCCTTTTCCTCCTGAGTAATGTAGGTCCTGCTTGGCATTTTCTTCCAAAACAGGCCTGTTTCGTCGCAATTAAACACTTGTTCAGGTTTCAGTCCTTCACTGTCTATGTACTCCTTAAATTCATGCATGCATTTTTCAGCTGCTTTTTGGTCCGAACTGGCAGCCTCACCATTCCTTATCACACTATGTATGCCACTACGCCTCTTAAATCTCTCAAACCAACCTTTGCTGGCCTTAAATTCACTCGCATCACCACTAGTTGCAGGCATTTTTCTAATTAAATCCTCATGCAACTTCCTAGCCTTTTCACTTATGATCGCTTGAGAGATGCTATCGCCTGCTATCTGTTTTTTGTTTATCCACACCAATAACAGTCTCTCAACATCTTCTATCACTTGCGATCTCTGTTTCGAAAGCACAGCTAAACCTTTGGCAAGAACAGCTTCCTTGATTGCCGTTTTCTTGGACACAATAGAAACGATGGTTGATTGGGGTTTACTATACAACCTGGCCAGCTCGGAGACACGCACTCCACTTTCATACTTAGCAATGATCTCTTTCTTCATCTCCATAGTAATTCTCACCCTTATTCCTGTAGGGTTGGCACTAGAAGCTTTCTTGGGGCCCATGGTCACTTATTTTTCAGGTGAAATCACTGTATAAAGGCTGTAATAATACGAAATGTTCCGATTGTATGCTTGAATGTTACCGCAGAGGTAACATTCAATGCCACTGGCAGAACAAGCGAGGCTGGCTCAGGCCGCATCGCATTGAGCGAATTTTTTAGCACTATGCGAGGCAAAATTTTAGCGATAAAATGTATCGCTATGCGGATTTAACACTATGCGATGCCAACGTTATGCGGGGGTCCACTGTACTAGAACGCCTAAATTCTAGTGCCTTCAAATCTAGCAAGAGAAAGCTGGTAGGCCTACATACGAAAGAATGGGTCTATGTGGTCAGTGTGCGCAGTATAAAAAAAATCCTGCAGCACACAGTGCGTAATAAGAAAAAGAAAACTGACAGTGTTTTTGGATTAAAACAGCGACTTTGCACTGTATTTTCGTATGGTATTTATGGTTGTATTCTAGTTTTCCTGGTCTCATTTTATAGAATGGAAGACATATTACAGAAATTGAGATGATTCTGATTGGTTTCACAATGAAAAGTACCTTGAAATTGAGCTCAAAGTAGCAGAAGTGTTCGATTGTTACCATAGTTCAAAAGTAAACAAATCATGCCAAGCGTCCAATACACGTCAATTGGCGAGTCTAATATTCTTTCACAAGTGTGCTGATATTATTTATGCTAATTCTACACTAATGCAGTAGTCTGCATAATAGAAAATCTTCTATTTTTTGTAAGAATAAAAATTCAAAGTCTAAAGCGAAAGAAATATAAGAGGGGCCTGGGGACATGACTAACGAACAGAGAACTTGTTATTTTAGTGCCAGGAATGTCTGTCTTGTTTATTCTGGACCCTATTTGTAAATTGGCATCTTCTGAAATTTGTGTGAAATTGGCAAAATTGCCAATTTCTAACCACTTCATTGGATAGTTGAAATTGGTAAATGGGTGGTTTCTTGTACTCATTCGATAGAAAAAATGGAGTTCTAGTGAAATAAATATGATTTTTGTCAACTAGTACACAGGAATTGGCCGAAAATAGGGCTCAAAGTGGGCGAAATCGCCGATGCATAAACATTGGCGAGACCTCTAACTTCACGAGAGCATAATTCCGTAAGTTTTCCATCAAATTTCATACTTTTGGTGTCATTATGATCAGGAAAAGATTCTCTATCATTTCATAAGAAAAAATACTTTTTTTTCCGAAAAATTTCCGACCCTGAGAACAAGTTTAGGAGAGGGCCTCTCAACCCTGAAAGGGTTAATAAAAATACTGCATTATTCAATATCAAAGGTACTAGATATAAAGCAGTAATAATTTCATAATTAAGAATTTTTTTTTTTTTTTTTTTTTTTTTAAACTGCCATTTTTCCACTACGAGGTGACCAAAAGTAAACACATTTACCATCATGTTGAAAATGGCATAAAATACCAACAAGTTGATGATTAAGACATCTGCAACGGTTGGGTATCTTTATTGTCGAAACATTTTACCTACACAGTAGGTTTCAGTCAAATACAGAGGCAGCAGGTGTAGTAGTGAAATGAAAATGATGTAACCAGTCCATCAACCTTGTAGAAATAGTATTTGAAGTAGTCAGTCCCTCAGCCTGGAGCTGAACTCTTCTCCAGGCTGAAGGACTGACCACCACAAATACTATTTCTACAAGGTTGATTGACTGATTACATCATCTTTATTGTGCTACTACACCTGCACATGTCTTAATCATCACATTCACCATCACTTATTCAATAGCCATCTTGAATAAAATCATGCATATCTTACCTGGACATGACAAAGAGCATCATCCCCATCGGTAAATGTAAAATTAAATCTGTCAACAAATGACATCCAGGGTGTCACATGGAAACCTCGGATGGCATTACCATCTTCACCCAAGTACTGTTGGATAAAATACAAGATGTTACTAATACTAAATCACTGAAAATACTATAATACAGCTCATTTAATTATATATACAAGAATTAAATACAATATTTTATAACAAACAAGCACACAAACACGCATGTACATTCATAGACCCACAAACACATGCATGCTCATGCACACTAACAAATGTACACAAACACATGCATACACAAACATATTTACTTTTGCAAGGCCAGTTGAGCTTATCTACAGAATGCTGTCGCTCCACACAATCACAATACAAAATGCACAGTCACTGCTTTCTGCCTACATAATCTCTTTCAGTACCCATCGTTTTACCAGTCATTTTTTTTACAATACTAGTCGAACTGCCCCCAGGATTTGTCATATTTAAAGAAAATCAACCTTACTATATTTTATTTAAATTGAACATGTATTTGTTATGTGCAAATACATCACCTCATAGTTGCACTGTTGTTTGAGACTGCAGTCATTATGGCTCCATTTTTTTATCTGGCTAATAAATGTTGATTTCACAGTAGAACAGGACTTGCCAAATACCCTGATGGAATGAAATTAAAAACTTTAATGTACAAATACAGCACACTTAAAATATGATAACATATGCATGAGTGTGTCATCCATCGAAGACACTGCAAGTCTCCAAGCGGACATCAACCAAATCTTTAAATGGGCTGCAGAAAACAATTTGAAGTTCAATGAAGAGAAATTTCAATTACAGTGGACCCTCCCTTTTTGCTGATCTCCATTATCGCTAATTTCCGTTTGTCGACTTTTCGTCAAAATATTGGTTCCGTTTCTGTCAATGATACGGAACCTGTCCAGTGCCCAGAGTGCACAAAAAGCCGCCTCCCACACGCATTCTCAGGCAGTGTCGTGTTGTTTCTCAGTGAGTGAACATATTCTGTGAGGTGATACGAAACATTCCATAATACAGTAGAACCTCAAATTTCGAACGTATCGCTTATCGAACTCTTCGACAATAGAACCCTTTTTTGGAAGCAACTTTGTCCCTATTAACGAACTCGCCCCTATTTTTGAATGGCCGGGTACTGGACCTGTCTGGCAGCCCGCTCTGTCCGCGTCCTCATGCAGGCGCCGTGAGCCAGTCTGGTTTTGTTGATGCTTGAGTGAACGCTAACCTGTGCTCTCAGTAATAATAATAATAATATCTTTATTAAGTACATGTACATGGTATACAGGCCTAGCTGACAACAATGACATACTACTTTATAGAAAGCCCCTTGTTATGCTCCGCATGTCAAGCAAATTAGGTCAGTGTCCAAGGATGCTACCCACACCAGTTGACTAACACCCAGGTACCCATTTTACTGATGGGGAACATAGACAACAGGTAGAAAGAAACACGTCCAATGTTTCTACTCTGGCTGGGGATCGAACCCAGGCCCTCGACGTGTGAAGCGAGAGCTTTAGCCACCAGGCCACCAGAGCTTTTATTTCATTGTGTTTAGTGCTTGTGAAATAAGCTACAATGGGCCCAAAGAAACTTGCTAGTGGTGCCCCTGTGGTAAAGAAAGTGACAAACACCATAGATGTGAAGAAGGAAATAATACAGAAGTGGAATGATGTCCAAGTGGAATGATGTCCAAATGTTTGTGGAAAAGTACCACCCTGAGCAAGCTGAAACAAGCCATCTTTGCAACAAGCTCAGTGACAGAACCATATCCCATTTTAGGGAAATCTTCAAGAGGCACCAGAAACAGAAGACTGAACAGTTATTTTGTGAGACAGGGGTCCAGTGACTCAAGCTGGTCCTGGTGGCATTAAAAGACAGAGGGGAAGTAACCCCAGAGAGGGCTTTGATACCTGAAGTCCTCATGGAGGGGGATTCCCCTTCCAAACACTAACCCCAACTCCCTCTCTCCTCCTCCCTATCTTCCAGATGTCATCACCAGCCTTCAATAATGGTAAGTAAAATGTTATTTTATATGTTTATTTAAATTTATTAATACATAATTGAATACTACATTTGTTGTGTGTATGTAAAACTATAATTAATCTCTATAAATTTTTTTTTTTTTTTGTGAATATTTTTGGGTTTCTGGAACGGATTAATTTTATTTCCATTATTTCTTATGGGAAATACAGGTCCCCCTCAACATTCACGTTTTCAACTTTCACGGGCTTCACACATTCGCGAATTCCCAACCGCCAAATTCCCAGCCGCCAAATCATATTTAAGTTTCCCGCCACCTGCGAGTCCCTACTACCCTCCCTCCGACCCCCACAACTGGCAGCCAGCCCTCCCACCACTCACCGTGGCGAGTGTTTTGTTTGTTCATTATTTGCTATTAAACTACTGCATATTGGAATGGCTATTCGGACAGGTATTAGACGGTGACATGTGTTTACTCTTGAACACTGCAAAGAATTAAACATTTCTGCTACAGCTAATAATAACAATAGTAATAATAATAATAATAATAATAAATATGATATAATTGAAGAAGGAAATTGTACAAAAATACGAGGGAGTGGTTGACACATCGTCAGTGTGACTTTGTTTATGCTGAAGTGAACATTAGTCTCCCTGCTCTTCCAAACATTTCACAATAATTCATTGTGTTTGGTGCTTGTAGATTGAGTGTGACTGGAGTGGTAGAGGCAGTGATTGAGGCAATGGTATTTAATAACATACATGTTAATAATACATGTTGTTAATAATAATACATGTTAATAATAATACTACATGTTATTAATAATATGTACTATTATTATTTATAACATATGTTATTAAATACATACATGTTAATAATAATACATGTTATTAATAATAACATGTACTATTATTATTTATAACATATATGTTATTAAATACCACTGCCTCAACCGCTGAATTATTGTGAAATGTTTGGAAGAGCAGGGAGACTAACGTTCACTCCAGCATAAACAAAGTCACACTGACGATGTGTCAAACACTCCCTCGTATTTTTGTACAATTTCCTTCTTCAATTATATCATATTTATTATTATTATTACTATTGCTATTATTAGCAATAGCAGAAATGTTCGATTCTTTGCTGTGTTCAAGAATAAACACATGATGTCACTGTCTAATACCTTTCCTAATAGCCATTCCAATATGCAGTCATGAATGGGTTTACATTATTTATTCTGTAGTTTAATAGCAAATAATGAACAAACAAAACACTCACCACACTGAGTGGTGGGAGGGCTGGCTGCCAGTTGCGGGGGTCGGAGGGAGGGTAGTAGGGACTCGCAGTGGTGGAGGCAGTGGTGGAGTCTGTGGTATTTAATAACATACATGTTATTAACATACATGTTATTAAATAACATACATTATTAAAGCATAACATGTATATATTTAGTACAATTTACGACGTTTTCATGTATTTTATGATTATTCATGGTTCAACAAGTTAAGGAAGCAGTATTGTAATATATTTCCCTACAATATATTGGGGCACCAAACATTCACGGTTTTTCAACATTCGCGAGGCTCTTGATCCCCTAACCCTCGCGAATGTTGAGGGAGACCTGTATTGCTTCGCTTTTCAGACTTTTCAAATTTAGAACTAACTCCTGGAATGGATTAAGTTCGATATTTGAGGTTCCACTGTAATCCATTTTTTTTGGCACTAGTTTATTGTGTGTGACTGCTAAATAAGCCACCATGGGCCCAAAGAAAGCTTCTAGTGCCAGCCCTTTGGTAAAGAATGTGATAAACCAGACAGAATTCAAGAAAAAGTTTGTAGAAAAATACGAAAGTGGTGGTGGTAGAGGGTGGTGGTGGTTGTGAGGGTGGTTGTGATGGTGGTAGAGGGTGGTAGTGGTTGTGATGGTGGTAGTGGTTGTGATGGTGGTAGTGGTTGTGATGGTGGTAGTGGTAGTGATGGTGGTAGAGGGTGGTAGTGATGGTGGTAGAGGGTGGTAGTGATGGTGGTAGAGGGTGGTAGTTATGGTGGTAGAGGGTGGTAGTAATGGAGATTTGTGCAATATGGAGTAGGATGGAAAGATTTGTGGCATTAAAAAACAAAGGGAAGTGACCCCAGATAAGGACTTGGTACCTAGAGTCCTTATGGAGGGGGATTCCCCTTCAAACAATAACCTCTCTTCCCTCTCCCCTCCTCCCTGCCTTCCATCCAGCAACAACAGCCTTCAATAAAGGTAAGTGTCATGTTGAATGTTCATTCTTTTGATCATGTAAATCTATCTTTAAGGTTAAAAAAAAAATTTCGTTAATCCTTCTGGGTGTCTGGAACAGATTAATTGGATTTACATTATTTCTTATAGGGAAAATGGTTTCAGTTTTTCCCGATTTCTGCTTTTACTGATCACTCTGGAACGGATTAAACATGAAAACTGATATGGAAAGCTTGAGGAAATTAAAACTGTACTGGAGTATAAAACAAATTCCAACCACACAACAGAGAAAAACTAATGCGAAGGACCTGGAAGTGGTGATGTCAGAGGGTCTCGCTTTCAAAGCTCGCAACAATGTATCTACCACATGTGCTAGGATAATGATAGGATGAATAATGAAAACCTTCAAAACTAAGGATGCCAAGCCCATGATGATTCTCTTCAAATAGCCTGTTTTCTCTAGGCTGGAATATTGCTGTAAACTGAAGGCCCCTTCAAGGCAGGCAAAACTACAGACTTGGAGAATGAAAAGCAAAAGACTAGGCAGGAGATGCAACATCCCCCCAATGAAAAGCAGGGGCACCACGAGTATGCTAAGAAACAACACACTAAGTGTCAGGGGCCCCAAAACTGTTTAACTGTCTCCAGCATAAATAAGGGGGATTACTATTAGACCCCTGGCTGTTTTCAAGAAGGCTCTGGACAGGCACCTAAGATCAGTACCTGACCAGCTGAGCTGTAGTTCATATGCTGATTTCTGTGCAGCCAGCAGTAACAGCCTTCTTGGTCAGGCCCTGATCCACCACGAGGCCTGATCACAGACCGGGGCATGGGGTGCTGACCCCCAAGACACTCTCCAGGTATTAATGATAATAATAATCTCCACGTGGAAAGGAACAGAATTATTCTTCCCTAAGTCATGCATGTCATAAGAGGTGACTAAAATGCTGAAAGCAAGGGGCTAGTAACCCCTTCTGCTGTATACATTACTAAATTTGAAAAGAGAAACTTTTGTTTTTCTCTTTACGTCACCAAAAAAATTAACAAAACATAAAAAAATTATTATTATAGAATCCCCTCATAATTGTTACCTTGCTCACACTCCAACAGCACAGCCATTAAAAACCACTTTACTCCTTTCACTCCTATCTAGCATGTTCATATACACTTGCTGGATGCATTTATGCCCCTAAAATTCAAACTTATTTTACCCCCTCCAACCATTCCTGGGATGGCCTCTACCCCTTCTACCTTCCACCTCAGATTTATACACCCCTCTTCATTAACAGATTCCTCTCCATCCTCTCTACATGCCCAAGCCACCTCAACAGCCTCTCCTCAGCCCTCTGATGACTCCACACCACCTTTCAATTTCTACACTCCAAATTCTCTGCATGATACGTATTCACAACACAC